ATGGGATGGGATGGGATGGGATGGGATGGGGGGAACACACAGGGAATTGGAATGGAGGGGACACAGGAAGGGATGGGATGGAGGGAACACACATGGTGGTGTTTGGGATGGAGAGGATACACAAGGGAGGGTTTGGGATGGAGGGGACACTTGGGGTTTGGGATGGAGAGGACACACAAGGGGTACCCCAGAGGCTGCCCAGATCCCCCCAGCCCCTTACCCTCCTCCAGCAGGCCCGTGTCAGACAGGGAGCTCTCCTCAGAGCCACTGAGCTCTGCGGGGCCAGGACAGGGGAGAGGGATGGGGGAGAGGGATGAGAGAGAGGGACAGGGCAGACGGGGTCAGTGAGGGCAGAGCCGGAGCTGCCGCCGGTGCCCAAACGCTCCCACGGCCCCTCCACCCCCCGCACATCCCCGCAGGGCTCCGCTCCCCGCTCCGTCCCTCCCTCCTTCCCTCCCCCCTCTCTCCCTCCCTTCTTCCCTCCCACACCGCTTGTCCCGACACGCTCCGGTACCGGCCGGGCCGGCTCTGCCGAGCCGGGCAGTTCCCAACCTGCTCCCAGCCCGCTCCCGGCCTCATCCCAGCCTGTTCCCAGCCTCATCCCAGTCCGATCCCAGCCTGTTCCCCGCCTCATCCCAGTCCGATCCCAGCCTGTTCCCCGCCTCATCCCAGTCCGATCCCAGCCTGTTCCCAGTCTGGGCACGTCGGGGCCACGGGCAGGGAAGGAACCGCCACGGTCCCAGTCCTTGGGAGGGGACAGGGATGGGACGGGGCCGAGGAGAGAGCAGGGACCCCCTGGATGGGCCCCCCGGGATGGGACATGGCAACGGGGCCACGTCCTACCCTCCTTTGGGGTGCAGGGAGTGATCAGGGGGAGTTCTGGGGTGCATTGAGGGGCTGAAGTGTTGGGGTACATTCAGGGGTGCAATCAATGGGGTGAAGTATGGGGGTGCATTGAGGGGTTGAAGTTTTGGGGGGCTCTCAGGAGGTGGAATCAACAGGGTTGAGTTTTGGGGTGCACTCCACAGGGTGCACTCACAGGGAGGGTATATCGGGGTGCACATCCCAGGGATGACATTCCAGGGGGGTTCCAGGTGGGAATAGAGGGGCCTACACTGGGCACGGTGTATCGGGGGGTGTCCAAGGGGTGTGTTCAGCAGTGACAGGGAATTGGGGTGCATTCCCCAGGGAGGGTGTTTTGGGGGCTGTCTAGGGGGGTGCATTCAGTGGGGATGGAGGACATTCACCAGGGATGGGGAACTGGGGACCATCCAGAGGGATTGGGATGGGGAACTGGGGCGCATTCCCCAGGGACATTCCCCACCAAGCTGCTCCCCCACTCCCCCTTCCTGCCCTCCCGGTTGGCCGGGGGTCTCGGGGGCCTCACCCTGGGCAGTGCCCGTGTCCCTGTGCCCGGCCAGGAGGCGCCGCTGGCTCAGGACCTGCTCCAGGTCCCGCAGCTTCTGCTCCTCCCGCAGCGCCGCCGTTTGTCGCCGCTTCCGCAGGCGCCGTCCGATGTTCTGCTCGTGGCACAGGCGGCGAGAGGCCTCGGCGATCCTCAGCTGCAGCGCCCGCTCCCGCTCCAGGGGGTCCTGAGCGCCGGGACGGGGGTCGGGAATGCGGCCGAGCCCACCGGAACAGCCCGACGGCACCCAGAGCTCCGGGAAACACCCGGGACCCACCCTGACACCCCAATAGCACCCAGAGCTCCAGGAAACACCGCAGGACCTCCCTGACACCCCGACACCGCCCAGCACCTCAGCACCCCAACACCATCCACAGGACTTCAAACTCCAACACTCCCCATCATCTCAGCACCTCAAACCCACCTCATACATGGAACCCCAACACCTCCATCACACACGGAACCCCAACATCTCCCATCACCTCAGCACCCCACACCCACCATCACTCTTGGAACTCCATCATCTCCCATCATCTCCCATCATCACAGATGCAACCCAAACACCTCCCATTGTCTCAGCTCCCCACACCCACCATCACACACGGAACCCCAACACCTCCCACAGCCTCGACATCCTGGCACCACCCACGGCATCTGCAGTCCCACCTCCTGCCATCCCCCCGGCACTACCCACCGTGTTTGGGACCCCAAACCCACCCACAGCACTCGGGACCCCAACACTGCCCTTCACGGGGCACCCCAACAGCACCCTGGGAGCTGGGAACCCCCCACCCATGGGATTGGGACAGTGACATCCCCATGGGAATCCTGGGCACCTCCCACAGCCCTGGGATGGGATGGGATGGGATGGGATGGGATGGGGTGGGGTGGGATAAATGGGATGGGATGGGCTGAGGAGGGGTCCCCACCCCCCTCCCTTTGCACCCCGGACCCCCCTCACCACCCCACGCAGGACAACGATCTCATCCAGCTTGAAGGCGGCCCCGATCCTGCGCCGGACTTTGGGGGGCTTCTCACCCGCCTTCAGGGGGTACTCCCGGGGCAGCGTCCCCGTCAGCTCCTGGGACAGCACGGGGACACTGAGGGGACACTGAGGGGACACTGGGGGGGGACACTGAGGGGACACTGAGGGGATACTGGGGGGACACTGAGGGGACACTGAGGGGGTACTGGGGGGACA